GAAGAGTTCTGGAATGTTTCATGAAGTGTATAGTACCTGAACTCAGCTTTAGAAGGAAGCAAAGGATTTCAGCAGGAGGAATACAGAAGACAATTCATTCCAAGTATGGGATGTTGTATGTGTGAGTTCTTGTCTCAAAAGCTTAGATCTTTGGGTTTATCAAACATGAGCTTACTATAGTCATTTACTACTGGCTATTGTGTACCTAATCTATTCCACTGATCCACTCTTCTCTTTCTGGTTAGTACCAGATTGTTTTGATGATTACCACTTTGTAAGATCTCCTACAGCTAGGCCACCTTCTTTCACATTTTTTTTCCCATTGATTCCCTTGATACTTTTGACCTTTTGTTCTTCCAAATTAATTTTGTTATTATTTTTCCTAACTCTATAAAATAGTTTTGGTAGTTTGATTGATGTGACCCTGAATTAATTTAGGTAGAATTATCATTTTTATTATATTGTATCAACCTACCCATGAACAACTAATGATCTGACTTTATTTGTGTGAAAAGTGTTTTATAATTGTGTTCATATAGTTCCTACTTTTGTCTTGATAGGTAGACTTCCAAGTATTTTTTATGGTCAGCACTTATCTCAAATGGAATTTCTCTTTATATCTCTCCTGCTGGACTTTGTTGGTAATATATAGAAATGCTGAAGTTCTTAATCATTTCCACTAGTTTTTTAGTTGATTCTCTAGGATTATCTAAGTATATAAGTATATAAGTTTGGCTTTATCACTGCCTATTCGAATTCCTTCAATTTCTTTTTCTTCTCTTATTGCTGTAACTAGCATTTCCAGTACAATGTTGAATAATAGTGGTGATAATGGGCATCCTTGCTTCATCTCTGATTTTATAGGGAAGGAGTCTAGCCTATCACCATTATAGGTAATGGTTGCTGATGGTTTTAGATAAATACTACTTATCATATTGAGCAAAGTTCCATTTATTACTATACTTTCTAGTGTTTTTAATAAAAATGAGTATTGTATTTTGTCAAAAGTTTTTTCTACATCTATTGAGATGATCATGTGATTTTTGTTGTTTTTGTTATTGATATGTTCAGTTATATTGACAGTGTTCTTAATACTGAGCCAAATCTGCTTTCCTGCTGTAAATCCCACCTGGTCATACTGTATATCTTTGTGATATATTACTATAATCTCCTAGGTAGTATATTATTTAAAATTTTTGCATTTATTATTTATCAGGGAAATCAGTCTATAATTTTCTTTATCTGTTCTTACTCTTCTGTTGTACAAGGATTTTGGTAGGACTCCTTTGCCTATTTTTCCATTTTTTAAACCTTTTTTTTTCCCAGCTGTATGTAAAAACATTTGTTTTTAAATTTTTTTTAGCTTCTAGTTCTCTCCTTTCCCCCTTCCCTGAGATGGTAAGCAGTTTGATTTGAGATAGATTATGCACATGCAGTCATACAAAACACTTTTCCATATTAGTCCTGTTGTGAAACAAAACTGAGACCCCAACCCCCAAAAAACACACATACACAAAATGAAAAATAGTATTACTTGATATGCAGTCGGACTCCAGTACTTTCTCTGGATGTGGATAGCATTTTTCATCATGAGTCCTTCAAAATTCTCTTGGATCATTGTATTACTGAGAATAGCTAAGCACATTCACAGTTGATCATCCTATAATATTGCTGTTACTGTGTACAGTGTTCTGGTTCTGCTCACTCCACTGTGCATCAGTTCATGTACGTCTTTTCTGAAAGCATCTTGCTCTTTATTTCTTATAGCACAATGGTATTCCATTACAGTCATATACTACAATTTGTTCATTTATTCCCCAATTAATGGACATCCTCTCAACTTTGCAATTCTTTGTCACCACAAAAAGAGATGATATAAATAGTTTTGTACAAAAAGGTCCCTTTTAAAATCTCTTTAAGATATAGGTCTAGTGGTGTATTGCTGGGTCAAAGGGGATGCACAGCTTTGTTGTACTTTGGGCATCACTGCCTATTTTTCCAAATATTGGAATTAGTTGTTCTATAAATGTTTGGTAGAATTCACTTGTGAATCCATCTGATTCTGGGAATTTTTTCTTAGGGAGCTCATTGATGGCTTGTTCAATTTCTTTTCTAAAATAGGATTATTTAAGTGTTCTATTTCTTCTTCTTTTAAACTGGGAAATTTATATTTTTGTAAATATTCATCCATTTCACTTAGATTGTTAGACTTATTGGCATATAATTGGGCAAAATAGCTCCAAAGAGTTGCTTCAATTTCATCTTCATTGGTGGTGAATCCACCCTTTTCATTTTTGATACTGGTAATTAGGTTTTCTTTCTTTTTTAAATAAATTAACCAATGGTTTATCTGTTTTGTTGTTTTTTCTTCCTCCCCCCCTAAAACCAGTTTCTAGTTTTATTATTAGTTCAGTGGTTTTCTACCTTTCAATTTTATTCATCTCTTATTTCATTTTCAGAATTTCCAATTTGGCTTTTAATTGGAGGTTTTTAATTTGTTCTTTTTCTAGGTTTTGTTTTGTTTTTTTAAACGGTAAGCCCAATTTATAGATGTAAGTATTTAGAGATATCAAATTTCCCCTAAGTACTGCTTTGGCTGCATCCCATAAATTTTGGTATGTTGTCTCATTGTTGTCATTTTCTTTAATGAAATTATTGGTTGTTGCTATGATTTGTTCTTTGACCCATTCATTCTTTAGGATTAGATTATTTAATTCCATATTAATTTTAATCTGTCTTTCCATGGCCCTTTATTAAATGTAATTTTTATTGCATTGTGATCTGAAAAGGATGCATTTAATATTTCTGCTTTTCTGCATTTTCTTGCGAGGTTTTTATGCCTTAATTCATGATCAATTTTTGTGATGCTGCCATGTACACCTGAAAAAAATGTATACTCCTTTCTATTCCCATCCATTTTCTCCAGAGGTCTATCATATCTAACATATCTAAAAATTCTGTTCATCTCTTTATCTTCTTTCTTGTTTATTTTTTGGTTAGCTTTATCTATGCTGAGAGGGGAAAGTTGAGGTCGCCCACTGATACGGTTTTATTGTCTATTTCCTTCTGTAACTCATTTAATTTTTCCTATAAGAATTTGGATGCTCTACCATTTGGTGCATACATTGTTTAGTATGAATATTATTTCATTGTCTGTGGTACCTTTTAGCATGTTGTAGTTTCCTTGTTTATCTCTTTTAATTAGATCTATTTTTGCTCCTGCTTTGTCTGAAATCATGTTTGCTACCCCTGCTTTGTTTACTTCAGCTGAATCATAATAGCTTCTTCTTCAGCCCGTCACCTTTACTATTGTGTGTGTGTCTCTCTGTTTCAAGTGTGTTTCTAGTAAACAACATATTGTCCGAGTGTGGTTTTAATCTGTTCTGCTCTCTGCTTTTGTTTTATGGGTGAATTCATCCCATTCCCATTCACAGTTATGATTACTGTCTATTTCCCTCTATCCCATTTCCCCCCGTTTATCCTTTTCTCTCTCTCTTTTTAGCCTGTCCCTCCTCAAAAAATTGTTTTTGCTTCTGACTACTGCCTCCCTGTAGCGACCATCCCTTCTTCCATCTGCACCTTCTCTTCTCCACTTTCTCTCTCAACTGAATGTGTATGTTATTCCCTCTTTGAGCCAATTCTGAGGACAATAAGGTTCGCCCCCACCCCCTGTCTTCCTCTCCACTGTGAAAGCTCTTCCTTTCATGCCTCTTTTATGCGAGGTAATTTTCCCCATTCTACCTCTCTTTTCCCCCTTTTCCCAGTGGGTCCCTCCTTCTCACCCCTTAATTTTATTTTTTTGAAATCATCTCGTAATAGGCAACTCACACCCGTGCCTTCTATGTAGTTGCCTTCTAACTGCCTTAATAATGAGAAAGTTCTTAGGAGTTACAACTATCATCTTCCCATATAGGAATATAAACAGTTTAACCTTATTGAATCCCTTATGATTTCTCTTTTATCTTTACCTCTTTATGCTTCTCATGAGTCTTCTATTTGGAAGTCAGGTTTTCTATTCAGCTCTGGTCTTTTCATCAGGAGTGCCTTAAAAGTCTCTAGTTCATTAAATGTCTATTTTTCCCTCTGAAGGTTTATACTTAGTTTTCCTGGATAGGTGATTCTTGCTTGTAATCCTAGCTACCTTGCCTTCCTGAATATCATATTCCAAGCCCTCTATCCTTTGAAGTGGAAGCTTGTCTTGTGCTGGAAAATTGTTTCACCCTGACCTTTTATTGATTCTGCCACTGCAGAATTTGATTTGAGGCATTATTTTAATGTTGTTTGGAGAGGAACTTGTGAGTTCAGATGAGTTCCTGCCTTCATTCCACCATCTTGGCTCTGCTTGATAATTAGGGTTTTAAATAATAGTTAGACATTAGCTTAACAACAGATAGTTAATATGGTTTATTGTTTGGGGTCACATCTGTTGCTATAATTGAAAAGATAATATGACATATAATTATTCCAACCCATTGATCTACAGAACTGTCTTAGGATCACTGAGGGAGGAAGTAACTAAAATAAGTCCTTTAGTACTCTCTGGTGGCATTTTCATGCCTGTGTCAGTGATGACTGGTCGTTTCATTTTCCTTGTATGTTCAAATCACAAAACTGAAGGTGGGCATTTTTGGTAACAAGGATGGTTCTCTTTTCTAATTGGAATAAATATACTCATGGACTGCTAATTATTAGATGTTTCTAGTATCACTCAGAGGTGGTAAATATGGGATACGCTGAGAGTATATAGAGTCCTATACAGAGAGTGTATGTCCAGTGAGCATGTCCTAGGACCCTTATTTTCCCTCTTGTTTTTAGCTATTCAGTTATTTCCTGTTGCTGATAGTTAATTTAAAAAAAAAAAAAAAACATTATTCTTTCTAAAGCAACCATGTTATTATAAAGATCCCAAATTTCAAACTGGCTTAAGGGCTTGTACGTGATAACTTGTCCACCACAAGTTTCTGCTCAAAATCGTTTTCACTTTGTTCCCCATATTTTAGGATAACCAGAGTCTATTCATCCATGATACACCAGGCCCTGCAGCTAGCCTCAGCACATCAGGGTTATGTGAATTAACAGTTTCATCAGAGCTACTGTTAGAAAAGATTCTGGGAAAGGCTGGAAGCAGGACATATAAAGGATATGTAAAAAGTTCCTGCATGGAAACAGCAGCATCTGAACCCCAAAACAGTGTTCAGAAGAGTGTGGGGCCTACTCCATGCCTGTCACCCACTCTGAGAAGGCCTGACTTGTCTAAGGAAACTCCAGGCACCATCACAAAAGCAAAGGACCTACCAGTTTGCCACCAAGTAACAGCATCAATAAACAAAACTTCCCTAAAAGAAATCCCGGTGGAAAGTGCAGGACTGTTCACTGACGCACCTGTAAGTGATTTCCCTTTGGTTTACCTGTGTTAGTGTTTCCTTCCCCACACTTTTCATAGGGTCTCTTGTCCATCATTAGTGGAATCAGCATCTGTATTCTTTTCTGTTCTTTTGCATTCTGAGGCAGGAACGGCAGCATTGTAACAGTTAAAAAATAAGGTAGAACGAGGCACAGAATTCCAAGCAGAATCAATTTATGAGTAAAGCCAAGATTTACCAGTAAATAGAATCTCTGATTTCCCCAGCTACGCTAAGACCCTGTGGTGGGGAATGGCTACCCTTTTTATAGTTTTAGGGGAGAACAGAACAAAGAACACGACTTCACAGGCAGAGAACAAGTTATGATTGGTTAGCAGTCAGGACCAAGGGGCTAGCAGAAACCCCCTCCTTCCCTTTTGTGACTAAGAAATGTCCATTGTTTGAGACCACCTGCGAGGTCAGAGATAGTGGACCAGACTTCTTTGGCTAGCAAACCAGACGTCCTTCAAAGATAACAGATTTCCTTGACACAAGAATAGAACATTAATTAACAAGAGAACTGTATTTCTAAACTTAAATCCTTATAGACCAGCTGAATTTCTGAACTAAGTTCAAAGACAAAGAGTCATGACTTAGGCAGTTATAGGACAAAATCAATTAACTGTAAATAGGATTGATTAAAAAAGACACAGAATCAATCTGATTGTTTCAACATAAAACGTGGATTTCATATCCCAAAATTAATATAAATTCTCGTGTTTTGTTAAGCAGGTTAATTTTATCATGTAAGATTCCCCACAATGGCATTACTCGTTGCTTTTGAGTAATAAATGCAGACCTTCTTGAAAGGTGAAAACCTGTAAAGTAAATGTGATAGGCTTTCAATAACCATCTGCATTTAAGCCATAAAAATATCATTAGTCAGGGTCTTTGGTAGTCTCTTTATAGCATTCCAGGAAAAGAAAGGGATCATGATTGAAGTTTTGCAGGAAGCCTGTGTCACAGCCAGAATCCCAAGGCTAGTTTGGCAGCTGTGTGCATGCCCATTAAATTGAGTTTTTTCTCATGTATACTGTTTTTTCTTCTATTCTGGAACTATACATAGTACAGTTCTCTCTCTTCCCCCCCCCCCCATTTTCTAAGAGGTAACATAATTTGGAGTCAGTAGGCATGGGAGTCCTGACTTTGAAATAAGCCTTATGACAACTAACATGTTACTTAACCTCTGTAGATCTCAGTTTTCTCATTTGTAAAATGGGAAGGGTAACATTCATCCTACCTCTCTGGCCTGGCTGTTATCATCCAGGTGCTTGACAAGGCACTGGAGAAAGATGTTGTCCAAGTTGGGGTGATTTTTTTAAATTAAGGTCTTATTATCTAAGAAGAAATAGATGACTGTTATTCCATATGCATTTTCTGTAAAACTTTCTCCCTCCCTTGTTGATAATCAAGGTGCCCTGGTTGGACCTGGTACCCCCCTGTTGTTCTATGAGAAAGAAGTCCCTGCCTCCAGGCTGTGTCTTACCCCAGAAGGTCTGACTTCAGTTCGACCCAGGAGTCTCCTCTCACCATGCTGCCTCTTGTTACAATAATCCCAAGAATAGATAACATTTCTTTAGCACCTACTATGTGCCAGGCACTATGCTAAGTACTTTTTACAAATAGGGTCTCATTTGATTCTCACAACAGCCCTTGGAGGTAGAGACTGTTATCATCTCCATTGGTCAGATGACGATACTGAGGCAGATAGAGGTAAAGTAAGTGCTAGCTCAGGGTTCTCCAACTAATACGTATCTGAGGCTGGATTTGAACTCAAGTCCTCTTGCCTACAAACCCCTGTGGTACCCCCTTGTCACCCCTTGGCTTCCACTTGACTGCAGCTCACCTCGAACTCATGCTTACAGGGAAAGAAAATTAAAACTAAGAGTGTACCGAAGCTTTGAGCTTCCCTCACATCTGTGGATTTTCTGTTGGGTGCCTTTTCGAATGGTGAGCCAGCCCAGGGCGGTGCAAAATGCTGTGTTTTCTGACATGGTGGAGCAGACCACGCTGAGGGCTGGGGCTCACTCCTGAGTTGGAGACCCCCTTCCCACTTCACAGGATAATGTGCACGTCCCAGCCCCCAGATAATCTGGGTATGGGCAGCAGCGGGAGGGAGGGTACAGAAGCAGCCTTGTGTCCAGAAACCTCCCAACAGGGAGGCCTGGGTTTGAATGCCACTTCCAGTGTTTAGTTACTAGCAGTGAGACCACAGGCAAGTTTCCTTGTCTCCACAATGCAGAGAATCCTGCCCGAATTCTTCCTGTTCTCTCTGTCCTCCTTAAGTTGCTACATCTGTGTGAATGGTTAGCAGTCGCCCCAAGGACACTGCTCCTTAAGGTTTCAAGCTGCGTCTGCACAGGTGGTGGAGAGTTTCCCTCACTGGGAGTTCTCAACCCCAGTGAAACCATAGGCCTGAACCAAAAAACACACTTGTGTCAGTCCCACATCATCTGGAGAGCCTGGATGCATGTCATAGAAGTCAAGAGGGACCTCAGCTGTCATGAGGGCCAATCCCCTCATCTTCAGATGAAAGACAGAAACCAAGTCCCCAGGAGAGTTCTTCACTGCCCAGGGACCCCATATAATACATAGCAGGACCATCATGTGAGCCCAGTGCCATCCCCTCCACACCCACACCTCGCATTCTTTTCTGCTGCCATAGCATTCTTGGATTATGGCTCCCAGTGTCAAACCCTAACTCATTCTGCCTTCTTCCCCTATCTCCCAGCAAAGTAATTGAAACGATTTTAAACCCTCTAACCACTCCTAGAGGATTCTCATTTTGTCATTAAGCTTTGCAAACTTCTTTTGTGTACAAGAATAAAATCTATGACTTCTTTGGGGTCTGGAGGTCCCTCTGATATAGATAGGATATGCTTTGTCATGTCCTTTGTTAGATGGAATCTAGTCCAGTCATCTGTAGGTAAGGATGGCTCGAGCTACCACTCAGGCAGAGAACCTGGAGCCTGGGGGCCCTGGAAGCCAGGAGGTGGCCAAGGGAGTTACGGGAGAAGCCCTAGCTTTGCCCTAAAGAAAGGTATTCAATAAAGGCAGCAGTAGACTCTGGATTGCTATCCTTATAAAAAGAGAATGGCAGCAGAGAATTATAGGGGAGTGTCTCTGTTCTTATTCAGAATCTATGATCAGGAGAAACTGAAGAGAGTGGCTTTATGACACAGGAAATTTCCTGTCAAAAGTTTTTATGGTGACATTGAGCAGAAGACTTGCTCCTCCCTACAGCCTGATAGAAAGCACAAGTCATCCAAAAGCAACTCTTAATGAAAGGGATATAATGACTGCTTAGTAAACTTCTTACTTGGAATATTTGATTCCTATCTTAACAGAGTGCATTATTATTAACTTCAAATAGTTTTAATTAAGAAAGAAGTAGAACCCTCTAGGTAATAATGCCACCATGCAGATAGCTGGTAATTAAACTTTTCCGCACATATAACTATATTCAAACAATTTTGAATGAATCATTCAAATGTTGGGAAATGCAAATGTCATTATGTGTATCTTGAAGACTTAAAGAAAAGATTTCTGAAATTGCATTTGTCATTTCAACAAGATTGAGCTTAATTTATGATTATAAGAGGATATTTAGATTAAAAAAAAAAAAAGCTACAAAGTACAACTCAGCCAGGTGGCTTACTTAGAGAAAAACAAATCTTTTTTGACCAAAAAAAAATTGTTTTATGAAACATTAGTTATATTTTACTCCATTTTTTACTTCTGTTTGTGGGAATCCCAAATGAATTATATTATGAGTTTAGTGATGTTGGCTTGTGTGCCCTATTTCTTGTTTAACCAACTCCTTTAAACCATGAATCATGAAAATGTAGGAGTAGATAGACCATTTACCTCCACCTGCTTATTAGACTCAGTATCAGTTCAGCAAATCTCTTTTTCTTAAAGTGTTTATGAATATACTTTGGGTTTTTCTAATTGCCTTAATTTTCAGTTGTATCCCTTCCACCTTGAAGCCCCTCCCAAGAGGACCATCTTCCCTTGTAATGGTAGATGCCAGGCAGAATAGTGAATTTTCATAGTTGTATCCAAAAACAATTCAGTGTTTCCCATATCCATAAAATATGTTACCCAAAAAAAGTATTTGAGAGGAAATAAAATGAGTTTGGGGTTTTTTTTTTTGTATTATATGTTTTTCTAAGGATAATTGTGGGAAAGGAATCAGGGTCTCTTAGGATTGTGGGTGTCTGAATTTTCTTCATCTTCTTGCACTGAAAGATCCCATAACTATCAAGTGACCACGTAGAGGAAAAGATGTTGGCAAAATTAGTGAAGAAGCTTCAAAGTTTATTAACTGAAATAAATGGAAAGGAAAAACTTGATTTTTAAGCAGTGTAAATAAATGACACATGTAAACACAGCTTCAGATTAGAAAAAGTACACTGTTTGCTTTTTAATGTAAGGACACTATGAGGTTTGTACTTGTGTTTTACATTTGAGCATTTGATTAGCCTTTCTTTGAGTGAATTGTTGTGGTCGGTCTGCAGGGTCTTGAACTACTCTTCCCTGTGTGGGCTCCAAGATCATCAGATTGTAATATCTGAGCAAAAAGAGATCTTAGAGTACTTCTAGTCCAATTGCAAAAAAAATTAAGTAACTTCTCCAGGGTCACCCAACTGGTAAGTGGAATGCCTGGGATTTGAACCCAGATCCCAGCACATAGTAAGCACTTAAAATGCTTATTTCTGCCTTTCCTTCCTCCCAGTCCTTTCCTTTCTCTCTCCCTTTCTTCTTTCCTGCCTACTTCCCTCCCTCTCTCCCTTCTTTCCTTCCTTCCTTCTTCTATACTGCATATCTCCTTTGCTCAGAGTGAGCCTATTTATGGTGCCTGTCTCTTACCTCTGGCCTACCAACCACCGCTTTTTTTCCAGTAGTGCTGGGTTGTTTTAAGATTGACCTCAGTTGCAGCAATTTCACTTGGTGACAAATGAAAAGCCTAAGAGGCAGTT